TATATATATAATTTGCAAATATGTGTGTGAACTTTTTTCTTTCTACTGTTTATTTTGTTTTTCTAAGCATAAAAGTAATGCATGGCATGCCTGTGCTTGCATAGAATAATTTAGAGCAGTTGGGGAGTCCATCTAACTCTTTCCCCTTACATATGGTTATATTAACGCTGTCAAATATGTGTCCCTGTTGTGAGATGATCAAAAGATCTCATCGGACCTTCAAGTCACTGTTGAGGTAGCTCCCAGTCAGAGGAAGATTTTTCTTTCCATGAAAAGCAGATTTTAGATTGAACTAAAGAGGGGAACAATTAGGATTGAACTTTGCAATGAGCATCTGACTCCTGCACATTGTCAGAAAATAGCTAAACACAGCTGGGACTGTCAGGAGCTACATTAGTATGTGTGTGTGTGTGTGTGTGTGTGTGTGTGTGTGTGTGTGTGTGTGTGCGTGTGCATGCGTGTATGCGTGCATATGTGTTTATTTGCCAGACCAGCAACGAACTAACATGCACAGCCTCTTAAAGCAATAATTTATCACCAGTTTTGATTAGTAGTTTAAACATACCCCCCACCCCACATTTACTTTAAAAAAATTCTAAATGAAGATAACAATCTTTAATATACAGTACATATTTGACCTTCATCTCCTGCTTTGCTCCACTCTACCTGGTTTTAACAAAGTTTGAATTCAAGCTGTAAATTTGAAAATCACACTTTTCTTTAGCACTTAATGTGAACGTTGCATTGTAACTGCTGAGACAGTGTGGTGTGAATAGAATAACCAGATACATTATTTAAGTAGTTACACAAATGATATAATTATTTAAGTTCTTTATTTTATTTTTTACCAATGTACTGTATGTGACATTTTCTTATTTCTGTATTGTAAATAAAACTAGGGATAACTCTTGTTTTTCTTCAAAGATATCAATATGTCTATTAAAATTTATAGCATGTCATATTTACTTGTCTTTATTGTCTTTTTGTGAGTACTAGTGTTTTAGTTTTTTCTTAATGCTACAATTTCATGCTTGTAATTCAAAACATCTCATTTTAAAGCCAATATTGGCATCCTTTTCAGTCTCAACAGCAGAATGACAGATTTACTATGCTGACACCCAGCTGTGGCAGTAGCTGCAGATGTTTGTATGTATGTATGGTGGTGGCCAATGTTCCCTCTAAGCTGCGCGCCTGCGCAGTTGCGCATTGCTCGCACAGTTTCTGCACCAAAGAAAATCGATGCTGCGCATAAAATAAAATGCAACATAAACTGTAAATTAATTAGACCAATAACATTTTTTTCTGTACCATTTTGCAATGTAACAGTGAATGACAGGTGTCCAGC